CATAATATCTTTTAGAGCCATATCCTTCCATTCTTGGGGAGGACAAACTAGTTTTCAATCAACAAAAGGCTAACCTATTAAAGTACCTAAACCTTGTTCTTCTGATTTCCTCTCGGCTTTTGCCCTCTTAGAATTTGAATCCTATTTCAAAGTCCCCTCTTTCCAGAAGCGGTCTCTGTGTGCAGCCCTTTCCCTACTCTCCAAAATCTCAATTTCTTATCTAATTCTGTAGTATTTACCATACCACTCATCAAAACTTGATATATTAATTGAAATTATTTAACTCTTTGTGGGCATGTCCTATTAGACTGCAATTTTTTAAAAGTATAATGCCTCATACTTTAATTTCCCCAGAAATGTGGTTCCTAGCGCAATGCCTTTAATCTAATGAGTACATAATTGACTCTGGTTCATATTGTTATCCCTTCTCTGAACCACCTCCAAATTTATTTTAAGTATAAACTTACTTAAGTTGAATCAGGCGTAAAATGCTTGTTTTCTAATTGTTTCCTGAGGCCCCGATTCATCTCTACTTCAAGACTATCATTTCTTTAGGGTAGATATTGCCATATTCTTTTTGTATTTTTCACTAGTACACTTCTGTTCTCATAGAGGGCATCCATTATTTGATATTTGACAATAAAGAATTCTCTATGATAAATATGTAAAACATTAGAAATGACATCGTAGAATAAAACCATGGCCCTCTGACCTTCCATGTTTTTCTGACAGTGACACAAAGCACAATACATCATTTAACTGTAGCTAAATAATGCTCTGAAGCCAGGCAGTGAAGCAGGTCAGCAGGAACCATAGTAACCCTGAATGAATAACCCCAATCTCAAGAGGACAACTACAATTTGGCTCTAGCCACTGCTGCCAGGTTATATTCCGATTTTTTAAAGAGAAGCTGGTAATCCAGGTTTTTGTGTAAAACAGCTAGATTTTTAGCTATTTACAACTAACTCATGTTAGTTGTAAATAGTTAACTGTGTGGGTCAAACAAAGCATGTCTAAAGTCAAATTCAGTCAATAGGCTGTTAATCTATAACCACTGTTTTAGTGTTTAAAAATTGATTATTTTTCTTTATAATAATTCATCAGTTTTCTCTGAATTGAATATTCCCACCCAAATTTAACCAATGGGGGAATGAACTCCTCTGTAATGAAGCCAGTGAAAGATCAGGTCAGGAATTCGCATCACATAATCTATCCACTCATATAGCCTCTTTGTCTTATATCCACAGTTCTTAACTTTTGTGTATGTGTGTATGTTGGGGGAAGGGGGTGTTAGGAGATGAGAGATAGTTCTAAGTCCCTATGGAAATCTGATGAACCAGCTACAGATCCTCTCCACAGAAAAATGCATATATGAACATACATATTAAATACTGCATAATTTCAAGGGATTCGCAAACCCCTGAAGCCTATCCATAGATGTCTATAGTATATGAGATAATTAAGAGACAGAAATTCACTCAGAATATCTGTAGCTTTACTTCATGATAAACATGAATTTATAATCAGTAAGTCTATCAAAACTAATCTGAACCTTTTCACATTTCATTATTCTACTGTTAGGATTAACATGTTCCACCTTTTATTACTTGTTACATTAAGTAGTGCTGTCTTTTTTTTTTTTACCTTCAAACAAGTTGTCTTACAGTACACAACTTTTGAGTTTGAAGGGGTTAAGTATAGTTCTAGAATTATATAATTTGTTGAATAATCTCAAGTTCATGGTTTCCATATGATTCAAAATATTAAATGTATTCTCTTCTAAATTGCTGATATCAGACTAAAAATTTTTTTTTCCAGTTTTCCTTGGTTTGGAAACCTCTCCACCAGTTTTACCATTTATTTATTCTCTCTGGATTTCCTTCATCTATGTTATTTTCTTCAGGCTTATAATACAATTACTTGTATTACATAAAAAGTAGAAAAACATTTCCTACTTTGTACTGTTTTTCTGTTAATGTTGATCATCTTTCGACTATTTTGGTTGTAACATCACATAATGTCAATATCTGCATAAAAGAATCTACAATTACTATAAAATTTACTTTCTTGATTTGAACTAATTCAACTAACTCCAAAACCCATACCCTTTCCAATATGCTGCATTGATAAGAGAACATCAACTATAAATATAATTTTAATCCTATTTTCCATTAATGTACTTTCTAATATTTTCTAACACCAAAGCTTAACAACCACTTTTTTTGGGAGTGGCTGCACTCGATGCCTCAGACCATCTCCCTATAGTCAATACCCATTAACGCATTATTTCGTGACAGCAAAAAGTGGTATCATTCACAAACTTAGAAATTTCAGTGTTTATACCCTTATCTAGATATACATTATAAAACTGGTACTAGCCCAGATCGAAAGTTTATTCTGGTGGGTCCTGTTACTCAGACTCTTCTACCCAGTGAAGCATCTGCTGCTAAGCATTTTACTTATCATTTACCACATGCCAGACTATTTTTTTGATAACTTTTATTGCCAAGTCCTGATAAATGCCTTTGAAAGTCTTAGTAAATTACATTCATTGGCACTACTAACAGACACATGAATAAGCCTTCAAGAATAACGGTGACTACTATTTATTTTCTCCCATGCATCAAATAATGTGCTAAGTTGTTTATGCTATCTTATTTAATCCTTAAAAAACAGTGAAATTTAGATATTATTATTACCATTTTACATATTAAAAAACTGAAGCTGAGAGCTTAGAGAATGTTCCCAAAGTTACATTACATGTATAGGTGGAGGCCAGAACTCACAAGTTTTTCCAAAGCGTGAGTACATTGGATTGGCATAATTACCCAATACATAAAGACAGAATGTTGCTTTCTCCTAGATCACACTGACTTGAGTGTTTGTTGTAAAGCAGGTCCAACTGTTCTGTATCAAAGTCAGATCCCCCATTCTATAGTTTTCTTCTCTCATTATGAGTCCTTAAGAGTGAGGATATGAGAAATGAATTTTGTCAAGAATAATGACTGGTTTTATTTAAATAAATCTAGGAAGATTCTGCCTGCTTCAACAAGAATAAAACTAAGGGCTGAAAACTTTTCTAACATCTTCCACATGACTAAAAGAATATTCAAACATCTAGGTTTATTGTGGTTGTTATTGTTTTATTTTTATTTTCATTCTTGTTGCTGGGTCATCTGATTCTCAGACTCTGAAGACACAATTCCTGTATTTTGAGAACTTTTATAAATTAAAGGCTCTAAAGCACCTGCAGAGTGCTTTTCAAAGGCTCCTTTTATTCACTTGAGATTATACACCTAAATTACATAAAAATATTTTTTGAGCAAACTTTTATAATCTTAAACCTTGTAATTTGAAAAATTAAGACTACCACATACCTGAGAAAGAAGAGGAGAGGGGATACTATTTGAAAGAAAGGCAGGGAGAAATCAGCTAAGAACTATAACATACTTTTATAAAATGGGACTGAAGAAGGAAAGAAACTGCATAGCCAGCACTAGCTATCTCACTACGGGAAGCTTTGGGCAACAGAGTAGAGAAAAATAATAATCAAGGGACACTGTTTTAAGAGCTTGTTTGCAAATATCTCCTCCATTTATTCTATCAATTGGATATTCATTTTGCTTAATAAAATCCTTTATAAAATGTAAATACAGAGGGTGCCAAAAAAAGTGTTCGCATTTTAAGAAAGTAAAACTGTATTAAAATTGTAATATTCAATGTATACCTACAGCAAAAGATGAATACAAGTCACATTTGACTTCTTCAATTACAAGAGGTGTTCAAAGTGGTTCCCATCAGCATCCAGACACTTCTGATTACGGTGAACTACTGCTTGAGCAACGTTGACCGAAGTGTCCACTTCTATAATTTTTTTTTTAGCATCCCCAGTATATATCCTTGGAAAGTTAGTAACCCATTGGTTCTTCATACCTTTACTATGAGTTACTATAATTAGATTGTCTATAACTTTAGTAAACTTCTGGGGGATATAAGTTTTAGTTGAAGCATGGAACACTTCAGAATAAAAACCATAAAGATCTCTGTACAGTCTAAGGACAGAATAACTGAAAGAAAAGTGGAATGATGAGACACTAAGGAAGTGTAGAGCTGGGGAATGGAAGTGTAAAAACACCTACTTTACAAATTTTGCCATAGAAAAAATAAGGTTATGATTCAATTATCTCAAAGTTTCCTTTCCCCTCTATAATTCTATGAGGGCTATTATGCAAAGAATGAATGTTTTACATACCAAATCATAATATGCTATATTTTTTCTTCCTGGAGTGTATACCATCCAACTATTAAAGCAAAAGACCTCCCTTTTCTACCTCAACAAAATAAAAGGGAGTAATTTATCAAAACTCATTCCAGAGGACGACCAAAAGCAAATCAAAGGGAGAAATCATAGGGCGGTAAATGTCTTTCCAATAAGGAAATTAACAACACACCATCCAATACTCTGATAATCAATACTGGATAATTGACTGAATGAAATCAGGGATCCCAAAAGAGATACAGATGATTAGAATGGTTTAGAATCTCTCCCCGGGAACACGCTAAATAAGAACCCTCATCAGAGACTTTAAAAGTGGAGAGACTATTTCCCTACCAGCCCCAAGGCATTTCCTCGCCACCTGCATTACGGCTCGGTCCGGTCCTTTGCTCCCTTCTATTTGTCACCTTACTATTTTCCTTTCGACCTCTACATCATCCACCAATTGTCTCCACAGTCACCGCTGGAGACCTTCTCCATAAAGTTTCCCTTTCTGCCTTATGGTTTCAGTTATATCTCTCTGCCCGGGGTTTACTCACACCTGCTCGACTCCGGCTTCTTTCATCGACCCCCTAGGACTCCAAGCCAGGCAATGGATCACGCTGGGAACCATATTCTCCAGCAGAATAAGCGGGGGTCTGTGGGACCACAACTCGGAGACGTTTGTGCCTCCACGCGCCCATACCCAGAGCTCCCCCTTTTTCACCGGAGTGTCCTCACTCACAGCGCACAGTGTGGAAGGCGCAGCGCGGCTTCTTCTCAAAAGTCTCGCCTAACTTGAGAACCCGCTCGCGACTGTCGATGTGCCAGGGTCCATTCATCGTTATCCTTCGCCTCCGACTTCGCCTCCGCCAACTAGCGCTCCCAGCCTCAGTTTAAAACAGCTGCACTAGCAGCCGCGGACGCAGCCACGACAGACTCCGCCCCGCCGCCCAACGCGCGCCCCCCCACCGGGCGCCTCTCGCGTGCTGATTGGCTGCCTGGCTAAGGGCGCCCCGCCCCTTGGCTCCGAGACCGTGGTCCCGCCTCCAGGCCCCTTCCCGCGTTGCGACGCCAGCCGCATCGGGAACGCCGCACAACTGAGGCGCGCGGTGGGAGCTGAGTGCCTTCGTGGAGGAACGCGAAGCGACAATGAGGTAACGGACCTGAGGTGGTGGCCGGGGTCGGAGACGGCGCCGAGGTACAAGAGGCCGGGACCCCGCACTTCTGGGCCAAGTGACTCGGAATGTAGGAGCTTTTAACGGGAGACTCGGCCTACTTCACGAATTCTGTGGAGATCTAGTGTGGAAACTGAGGCCCGGGGAGGGGCGCACTCTGGGCCCAAGGCCTGGTAGCGCCAAAGCTGGGTCTAGAATCCGGAGTACAGGAGCCCGCGGCCTCAGAGCCTCGATCCTTGGACCTGACTGGAAGGTGACGCCGTTACCTAGGCAATCGTTTCCTGACCTGTTCTAGGGGAAGTTCCATGCAGGTGCTATTAGGACCGACAAGGTCAGGGCACGTAGAGGGTGGGCGGAAAAAAGATTAGGAGTTATGAACTGCAAATGTTTATGATCGGTTGCAACTAGATTGCATTGTGATATTTATTTTTTTTCACAGTGATCCGTGGAGTCAGTAACGGCACAGCCAGGAAGACCAGATTCCCAAAGGATCAAGGCCGAAGTTCGTACTCTGGAAAAAGGTAATAGCAATAATTGAAAAATAATTGGTTTTTTTTTTGTCAAAAACTTATGAGTTTAATGGTAAAGATGAGAGAAGTGCTGTATTAGAGGACAAGCACCCAAAAGGAAGTTTACAAATGGTTACCATAACAGGTGGTTGTTTTTCAGGATAATTATGTAATCAAACTCTTCTGCCTTACTTAACTTCTACCTTAGCCAAATTTGTGAATTTATTGTTCCAGGCAGGTAGATGAATGTGTTTCCCTCAACCTGCTTGACCAAATTCGACCCTGTTAAGGCATACTAAAAGTTTCATGGGGCAGTTAAGTGCTCAGATTCTGGAGCAAGAATCTTTGGGTTTGGACCCCATCTTCATACTTTATAGTGTGACTTTGTGCAAACCAAAGTTAAGTATGTTCATCAGTTATAATGGGCTGGGGGTGGTGGTGGAATAATAGTACTTACACCTTAGAGTTGTTGAGAGAACTAAATGAGTTAATACATAAAAGCTTTTAAGACAATTCATGGCATATAATAAGAGCTCTCCAAATGGTTATTATTCTTGAGGTTTAACTTTACTGTCAAGCAACATTTTAGGACCATCCTTGGTGGCTGTCTTTTCTTCAAAAGCTTGAATTATTCTAGGAGGTAGGAATTGCTTTTTTGTTTATGTCACAGATAAGAAAACTGGTTCAAGGAAGCCCAGTCCTCTGACCCTGTGGTCTGTAGTCTTATCTTCTGTGTCATCTATTTGGCACTTAACATTTTGTATAATTAAGTATTTTATTTTACATACACATATATTTTTTTGTTTGTGTGTACTTTTCCTTCCCAACCAGAACATTAGCAGGGAATGTGTCCTATATAAAATCTTTGTGACTATTGCATCTAACATAGTGCTCCACACATGTTTGGCGATGATGATAACGTTTCAGTGATGTTTTGTTACGTTACCCAGAGGGCAAGAACAGTGTTTAAAGCCTATTTTACCTTAAAAAGGCTTCCAACCAGAAATCTGAGGTTTACATTTTATAACAAGGAGAAAAGCAGAGGGTCAAGAAATTGAGTTTTGGAATACCCAAAGTTTGTGCATTCATTCACTTTTTTTCTACATATATTTATTAAGTACCTACCATATGCCAGGCACTAGTCTAGCCTGTGGGGATATAGCAGTGAACCAGAGAGAAGAATGCAGCCATCAAGGGTGGTCTGAGTTTCGCCTTCATGAAGCTTACCTTCTAGTGTGAATTTTCTTCAAACACATATTAAAATGAATTATGTGTACTAGCCCAGGAATAAACAAATAGATTAATGAACTAAATAGAATCCAAAAATATACCCAAGTGGCATTTCAGATTCATGACTAATTACTTCAGGAATTTTTGACAGCTATGTACATTTCTTCTTTTTTTCACCAATCTATAACCTCATCTAACTTAAAAAATTTAATTAGATTCCTGTCTTACACCATTCACAAAAATAACTTACAGGTGTATTGAAGATATAAATAAAGATATAGTTTAAATAAGATATAAATAAAGCAGAACCATAAAACACTAGGAAAAATTAGGGGAATATATTTTGGCGTTTAGGGTAAGGAAGACCTTTCTAAGCATGACACCAATGAAGCCA